GCACTGTCCTGTCTGTCCCGTCTGTCCCGTCTGTCGTCTGCTGCTGGCTGGCTGGCTGGCTGGCTGGCTGGCTGGCTGGCTGGCACACTCTCCAGCGCTCCAGCGCTCACTTTCCTGCGGGCGCATTGTCTCTGCCACAAGCCTCCATCTCCCTCTCTGGCCCAAAAGGAAACTAAGCCAACTTCCCCACACACAAAGGATGTGGCAGCACGACCACTTAAAGGAAGACCAACAACATCTTGCAACAAGGAAGCTTAACCTGGGCTTCGCTTCGTCTTGCTTCTTTTCGTCTTTTCTCTTCGCTGTTTCTCCTTGTTCATTATTTTCGCACAGACCGGAAATGCTCGAAGAAAGAGAAGAACCAAAATGAAAGCAAAGTTCAAAGCGCGCTTAAAGGAGCCGTTTCCGAGCCGCATTTAAAGTGCAGTATATGCACGGGGAATTAAGGTCAAATCATATACAAAAGCCTCCCCCTTCCCCGCCCAGTCACGACAAGCACAAACATGTCTGACAGCAGCTGGGGGGGGGAGGGCCTGCGCGGGAGGTGTGGGGAGGTCTAAGCCCGCATTCATCTCGCTCAGCCAACTTGTCTGTGGTCGTGGTGTCTGCCTCTGAGAGCTGCTCTGGGCCTGGTATTAATGACAACGACATGCAACATAGTTTTCTGTACGGTGCCACGGTATATGATACCTCTTAACAGAGGGGATGGCGGGGGATATCCCTATTAAAAAAAGGAAGGAGAGATGGAACAGGCCAAGCAGACAGCGGCCGATAGCGCCGATAAATGACTGATAACACCGATAAATGATCGATAGCGCCTATAAATGATCGATATGGTATGATCTATAACACCGATAAATCATCGATACCACAGATAACTGTTCGATAACGTCGATAAATTATCTATATGATATGATCGATAACACCATTAATTGATCGATAACAGTGATAAGTTATAGAAAACACAAAGAGATGATAGAAATGATTGGTTACATGGATATACATATGTATCTTCGATATCCCTATGGGGATTCATCGTTAAAACGCTCCAGGCGAACGTATCCGTTTGCTTATGAAAAATTTGTACATCAAATCGAATCTACGGCATTCCGAAACCATTGTCTGCTGAGTTTCAAGGAAACTCCTTGAAAATAAACATTTTCCATTTATTCCCATCAATTCTTAGGCTTACTGAAGGTCTCCTCCCCTGAGGAGGGGTGCGCCGCCGCCGCTGACGCCGCCGCGGCCTTTGTGTGCGAATTCAATAAAGCCTGAAATGTATATTATCTTTGTTCCGTGACAGTTAATAAAAGTTTAATCGACTGTCTACTGGGTGTCCCAATGGTCGTTCACCCTCTCGACTTCCTCTGTCTGTCTCGCTCTGTCTCTCTCTCTCTCTCTCTGTCTCCGTGTGCGACACTTTTCATGCTGGTTTTTTTATGAAACATTGTTTCGTTTTTGTCTTTTTGCAGGATGTAGGCAAGCTTTCATTGCAGCTGCGAATCGGCGACGCGCATATCCTGCCCATGCACATCCTGTCGAGAGGAAAGGGATCTCCCCACAATCACTCATAAAAAAAAAACCTATCCCAAATTGCAAAAGTTAAGTGCATTCATTAAGTAATTTTCATTTTCACTTTCATATTTTTTCACACCACAAAACTCCGAAACACCGAAAACAGAGGCGCCCAAATGCAAATTTTTGTCGTAAATTGTTGTGACTTTCACTTGGGAGGAGAAGAAGGAGGCTTAAAAAAGAGGCGGTGCTCGGCCACTCCCTATGTGGGTCAGGCAGCAAAAGTTTTTTGGCTTTTAAGGGGGGTTTGGGGGGTTCAAATGGCAATGCACGGGACACGGGCGATGGGCGAAATTTGCTTCGAATCTCTGTCCATTGATAGGCATGAACTTTGAACCCAACTGAACTTCTCTTCGTCTCTTTTCTCATCAGATCAACGCTCGCAAGCAGTAAATATTACAGTTGAAGCAGTTTTCGGCAAGCAGTGGGTGGGACTGGGTGGGGGTGGCCAAAGCAAAGCAAAGCAAAGCAGTTGTTGATGCTTCTCTTTGTTCTCTCTCCCGAAAAAAAAAAACACTCATGATTAGTAGTACGAAATGTGTTTTTCCGCCCGTTATATTGTTTATCCAGTCAGTCCAGTCTACCGTACAGGCTGTTGATTTTGCTGACAAATTTTCAGTACTGTCTGTGCTTATCACGGCAACACACACACACACACATGCCACATGCCATATGCCACACACACAATCCTAATTAAGGTTCACTTTAGCAAACCAGGTCACGTGTGTTTACTTGTCTGATTAAATTCTTCTGTTGCTGCATCTTTTCACTAATCAGAGAGAGAGAGAGATTTTTCATGCATCTTATCTGGAAATATTCGGTCTTATCAGCTGGCAGTGCACTTTGTGTGTGTCCAAAACAAAAAGTGAAGTGATAAGGCAAGGGCAGCGGAAAATCTGACAAGACAAAGAGTAAATCCCTGAAACAGGGTCTAAAATGCTAATCGCCGGCGGCTTCGAGGCTGAACAGCGGATATGTATAAATTGTGTTATTTTAGTTTTAAATAGTTCTTCTTATTTGTTTTGTGCCTCCTATAAAATGGGGCTATCCCCGCACACACTGAGTCATGTGCATGAATAATAACAGTTAATTATGCTCACACACAAACACACACATGTGATTCAGTCTGTTTCGAGAGCATAAGTGTAGTAGAGTTTTCATAAATAAATTTGCACTTAACAAATGAGCGACATAAGCACAAAATGTCGGCAAACTGCAGAGCAACAGGCGGGAGGCCTGATAGCAGAGCGAGCGAGATAGAAATAGAGGGTAGGGGGGTAGGGGGAACAAGGAAGTCATAAAACAAAGCCATGCTCAATGAAAGAGCAACAACAGCCATGGGAGTGCGGCAGAAGAGCGGAATTAAAATTTAATTTTAATCGCCAAAAATGAATAAAAAGAACACCAGAACAGTGGGAGACGAAGAGGGAGAATGCAATCATACACACACACACACACACACACATACAGAAAGAGGGAGAAGGCCTACCAGCAGCAACCACTCCAATCCTCTCTCCTCTCCACGCCCCTCTCTATGCAGGCAGACAAATAAATTTTCAGTCAGAAGGCAACAACTGAAATGTATATACACATCCAAGAATTTAATAAACACAAAACAGAAACAGAGAAAGAGACGCGACGCGACGCAGCAGCAGCAGCAACAATCAGAGGACAAAAGACAGAAGGCATATGCATGAAGGCTGCGGGGATTTATACATAAATCCATGGGAGACGATCGCCAGAACCACAAAAACGCAGCAGCAACAGCAACAACAACATCAGAGGAACAGGTCGCGCACCAGGTAGGCAGGCAGGAAGTGTTTGTGTGTGTGTGAGCTGCTTGTCGACTCTCTCTCTCTGCCTCTCTCTCTCTGACGATCTGGCACTGCGTCTCACCTTATAGAAATACACCTTGAATAGGCCTGCGCTGGCTGCCCTCGTGGTCAAAACAAAGCAGGTAAAAAGCAGCGAAAACATTGTAAAAGGAAGAGAAGAGAAAACTCCAAGCAAGAGTTGTTGCATTGATGCTGACCGCAAGCAGCACACAGGGCTCAAGACGAGTGGGGGCGCGACAAGGAAACCAACACAACTGTAAAAAAAATGCAACAAGAAGAACCTGCTTGAGAATCATGGCTGGAGGCCGACGCAGCATGAGAAGGAGGAGGAGGAGGAGAAGCAGAGGGCAACAAGAACACGAAAAGCAACGCGACAAAGTAATGGAAAAAATTGTTAGAGGCAAAGTCTAAAATTAAAACAAGCGCGAGAGCAAGAGAGAGAGAGAGAGAGAGAGAGAGACAGAGTGCAACGTATGCAGTTATTTATGTAGGCAGAGGCAGAGGCAGCGACAGCGACAGCAGCACAGACAGAGGGCTATTTTGGAGGCAAGCAGATGAAAATGCATTAAATCGTGTATAAAATCAAATTGCAGGCAACTCCGCGAACCGGACTCTGCTTACAGTTTTTGTTGCAGATGCTATCCGCATCTTTGTTGCCGTTTCTGTGGTCGTGACGTCAATATGCGCATGCGTTGATCTGAATGCCGCTTTTCTGTTTTTGCTGTCATTCCTTCAATGATGTTGTTATACGGCTATATCCTTCAGGACGAAAGGGGTATACCCATGTATAAGACGCCAAGTTCGTGACATCGGTACAATAGAAAGCAGTGGATAGTGGTTCTCGGACTTTGAAAAAACCCACTAGAAAACCATCTGTTGTTGAAAAGGGTTTAGTGTCCAAAGGAGAGAACAATTTTCCTTGGATCTGGATTTGTATTCTTCTGAATTGGTATTTTGTTTGGGGGGGGGGGGGGGGGGGGGGGGACGTACACGAAAATGTATTCCGTCTGAAAGACCGTTGGTGGTGCGACGGTGGCGGCGGCGGCGGTGGTGGTGGCTGCACCCAGAGGGGTGTTTTTCCAAACCGGGGGTTGCTTGTTGTTTGCCCACTTTGGAGCTCTCTCAAAGCATGAAGAGAAGGAGAGGAGTGGCGGGAGTGACGAAATGCGCATATAAATAGAATGCGGCAATCTTGCATTGCGCCGCAGAAATGTTGAGAAACGTAGAATCAACGATTAAGAGAACGAACCCAAACGATTGTCCAAAGAGAAGGAATACAAAAAAAAAGAAAGCAATCAAAAATTGCGTTATAATTTGTACGAGTGTTTATCAGGTCGGTCGGTAGGTTCAATAGACCTGAAACACACCACACTCCACACAAAGTGCAACGCAAATCCATATTCCTCCCCTCACACATACATACATATGTGTGTATTAGAGAGGCCATAAACAGTGTCTGGATGCCGCTAATTGCCCTGTCAAAATGGGTTAACGAACCACAGTGATCGCGATATATGGGGGATGGATCGATATCGATCCATTTGACTGACTAGAAATACATTTCGGATAAGAAAGGTGTTTGAGACTTACCGTTTCACCATTTTGTTGGTTACCCCCGAATTGTTTTCCTGCTGCACGCCAATGTCAACGGATCGGTTATAATCCAGTTTTGAGGTAAAGATTTTAATGCGACGGAAATTAATTTTGACGATCTTTTTGTTAAACCTTTAGGGATTATACATGTATAGATTTTTTTTTTGATTATTTGATTTTTAATATAATTATTTATATCTGAGCGATATTGTACTTCCTAGAAGTAGAAACAATTAACATTAAAGAGGTGCAGTCAACGTCTGCGCTGGCGTTGGCGTTGGCGTCGACGCTGCAGGAGGTCCAATTGGACTACCGATAAAAAACAAAAACCAAAACAAGACAGAGGGCAGCAGCAGCGGCCATAAAATGTATGGCAACAACAGAGATTCGCTTTTAATGAGCGCTACGTATATTCTTTTATTAACGTCTTTTATTTAAATTACACCTTTCATCTGCTGCCTCTGCCTCTGCGCAGCCACAGCAAACAGAACAGAGACGTGACGCCCGACAGCAACGTCGAGCTTTGTTTTCTTATGCTGCTGCTCTCCCGCTCTGCCCACCGCCAACGCAGAGTTTACTCTTTCTCATCTTTCTGCATGCCTTTTTTGCTTCTCCACTTTATTTTATAATAAAATCGCTATAATTATGCACAACAAAATTAACACGCAATTCGCAATGCACTTTAGATATTTCCACTCTGAATTTTTGAATTTTTTTTACCTCTACTGGAATATGATTTGTGCGGCAACCTATTAATGCACTTGCTGCAGGGGGCAGGGGCACTATTTCTCATTAATTTTTGGCGATTATTTCGCTGCTGCTGCACACATAAACAATGGTTGCCGCCGTTTGGCTCTTCCGCATCTCGCGCGCTCGCGGCCTTTGATTTCGATTGTTTCAACAAATGGCATAAACATTCGCAGAACGCTATTCTAAGACGTTTTTCGTTTTATTTTTAACAGTAATATGCAGGCGTGACGACAAAAAACCGACGACGATTCACTTGTAATAAACTGTTTGACTAGCGACGTTGATTATATATTGATATATCGAATATTAGTGATATATATATTTTTTAATTTATCAACGGATCTCAGAATTCAGGAACAAAATCGGCACTTCTTTTTTGTTGTTTTCATTGTCGCGGCAGAATAATTTGTGAGACCATTTTTCTGAATGGCTAGGCTTCAGTGGGACCCGCGGACTTATCGATCAGAAATGTACCGAACTACGTCACAAATCTCGAAACATACCGTAAATATACTGACGAATTATTTGTATCAAGTTGCACGTATTCCTCGTTTTTGATATTCGGTTGAATATTACTAGCTAGCTAAGACTCTCAGCTCTGAACTCATTACATTATGCGATTATTAAGTCAATTTCCTTTAAGACTGGTTAAATTTAAGTTTTCATCTCTATTGTATTGCTTATAAAATATGGTTTAAGCTAAAGCGGGCAAGCAAAAATGTCCACTGAACTAATAGCTTGACATGGTAATTACACTCTAGATACACCTATGCTACATAGGTTACACTACATGAAAGTGCCAGTGTAACATGTATTTTCTCTGAAATTTTTGAACAAATTGAGACTCTTATGGCAAACGACCAGGAATTCGATGCTGACTACGAATTAGTATTCAATGTAGCCCGTGACATGGCTCTAAATGGAATTTCTACACGATTTCTACATTGGACAAGAGGGTGGTTCATACGTCTTAAATTACACTGGAAAATACTAGAATGTGCAAGGTGTGTGAGCTAGACATGGAAGAACCATTTTGCAGGTAATGTTCTTTTGACTGGAAAAAATTTTAAACACTATGTGAATATGGATTCAACGGAAATAATTTTCCGATTTTCCAGCAAACTGTGACTGTTTTACTGTTGTTACATGTCGTTAGAACAAGTATACCCGACTTTTGATTCTACATATCGATGCACAGCTTGCACAGAAATATTGGTACTTTTGTGCGATAGGTGGAAGTTCAATTCGGCGGTAACATCCGTTTATTTCGAAAATAACAATAATATAGCTGACATCGGATTATGATAGCTTTATCAAAATAAAAATCAAAACTATGATTAAAACACTATTTTCCAGCAGTGTCTCCCACAATTTCTTGTTGACCAATTCTAGACCTATTTTGTATCACCGAACTTGGGTTGAACGTTTAAAATTTCAGTTGTGTTTTGGCTTCAATTGTGTTTTTTCCTAAATAATATTATTCAGTGAATATTTTTTTGGAGTTTCATAATCTTGATTTAAGGAGCGATTTAAATCTTAAGATTTAAAGAGCAATGTACCAAAATGTTTTTTTTTTTTCATTGTTTTAGCTTGTAAACTAAAAAAAGGAGACGGCAGACTTGCGGCGGACGAGAACTGCATGGAGACTATTCACCTCTCTAATCTCATAGAACTGCAAAATCCAACGAGAACTGTGTAGATGCCGACAATACCGAGCATATGGAGACCCAGAAGACGGAAGTTGCAATTACAAGTCTATGCAACTGCAACATCCGTTTTGTAAGTCTCCATATGCTCGGAATCCTCGGTTCCACGGCAGTTTTCGTTGGAGCATAGACATTTTTGAAGTTGGAGGTGAATGATCCACGACTGGAGGCACCATCTCTTCATAACTTGTCGTCCCTGAAGATTGATGTTTGGCCTTCAGATGCAACGGGGACAATGCCGAATGATATTGGGAAGTTGCAGAAGATAACGAGTGACAGGTTGCAGATTGTGAGGAGCACCTGGAGTCTGGTGTCTGCTCCGCCTTGGCCTTAGAAAATCTCTCATCCGCTGTTGCTGTTGACTCCGATGGATATCCAGGCGATGGTGGCCCATAGTACGGCTGGGGATTCAGATCGGAGTACAACGTCCAACGATACATCTCTTGTTGATGCAGAAGTCCGCAACGATTGACAAGCGAAGTATAGCCTCTGTTTTTGCTGTTCCCCTCACCATACCATACATTTTCTGTTAGTGGTTGTTCGTCTGTGATCCACCCGCTCGAGTAAACGTTGCCTGGAAAGGTGATGTCAGATTTGTAAAGGAGAGGGTGTATTGGTGCCTCATCTAAAGTGGCAGCTTTGTGGTTCGCCCTATTTCAACGTAAAAGAATAATATATAGGCCCAACATCTCCTGCCAACACCAGCCTCCGACTTGATATTCGCCAGGGCGAAGTAGCCGTCACCTACGGCATCCAGCATGGATGGTTGTCCTCCAGGGGCAAGTAACATTCATGACACAGAGTCCTTAACAGTTTCACGATATTTATTTTAAAGTTCGACGACCAAGGCCCTCTGACAATTCTTGGTGTTGCTTTTGTGGGTCGAGGTGGGACTCTTGATAGGTCTGCATGGTCGTCAACTCTTCACCAATGGTGGATGTAAAGGATTCTTAACAAATATAAATCTTACAAATATAAATATTCTCTGGCCAATGACAGTGCTAGAACTCGCTCTTGCCATCGCAGGCCACAATCTTCACCTTGTCCACCTTGACGAATTCGTGCACCTCGCGAAATTCCACATCGTTCAGCATCAGCGTCCAGACATTGTCACAGAAACGGTAGGTGTTCAGCTTGCCCGCCTTGAAGGTGACGCGCGCCTTTACGCGCTGGTTTAGGGCATTGTTGATGCTCTTGTCGAACTGGAGGAGCACCTTGAAGGCCAGTCCCGGCGTGATCTGGCCGTACTGCAAGGCAGAAGGGCAACAAAAGTTATTGTTTAATTATTGCATTCGCGATGCGCAAAAATGCAGACAGGCCAGACTGTGAGCCATCTTGTTTCCGCACGCTGCGACTCACCTGGATCAGCTCGTCTAGACTCTCCTGCAACGTATTGCCCAGGGTGGTGTTGCGGTACAGCTGGTAGGACATTATTGCGTTCTTTTTACCGAAAAATTGAGTTTTTTAATTAAAATTTTCACGCTCGGTTGCCGCAGTGTCTATCGATAAAATATACCAAAATATACCACCTCATTCTAAAAATATACCGCAAATATACTGACGCATTCAAGTTTTATTATACATATTCCTTGTTTTTGATATTCCGCCGAATATTACTAGCTATATGGAACATTTAGCCATGCCCACTCAATTTTATCCAATTAATGCATCAATTTTCTACACAATTGGTTAGTTTTTAGTCCTTGCTTTTATTGGATTTTGCGTAAAAAAAGGTTTAAACGAAAAAGTTCCACCAAAAAAGATTCGCAATGTTGCTGGTATTTGAAGACGTGATGCGTGTATAGCCCTTTGTACACCCTATTTCGCTAATTTTATATGAAGATCAAACGTAATTTATTAAGACCTTTTCTCAAATTGATATTCTTTAGACATATTCAAGTACATTATTTGTATCTTGTATATATTTATGTCGATCCTGAGCCTTGGAAGACAAACGTATTCACAATTCTATAACATCCATTTCCCACAGGGTATGTGTGCATGGAATTAGCAACATGTTGGTGTATGGAATGAGACTCATTGTTGCAATAGCGAAACTGCGGCGAATCGGGTATTGTCTATATTTCAGGCTATAGATGCCCACTTAGCTTTATCCCATAGATAAATGCATTTTCTACAAGATTGCTTCTTTTAATTACCTTTATGTATTTTATTTTGACTAAAATACGGTTTTCAAGTAAATGTTGCCGCAACAGTGTGTATGGAATGTGCAACATTGTGTATGGAACGAGACTCATTGTTGCTAAAGCGAACTGCGGCGAACTGCGGCGAAATCAAATTCGATTCAAAAAACGACCAATTCTTTGTTCCGTTGAATAATACTAACTATATGGAACATTTAGCCATGCCCACTCAATTTTATACGATTAATGAATCAATTCTAAACATGATTGGCCTATTCAAAATACTTGCATTTATTGGATTTCTATATTACATTGAAAATGAAATTAATAGATTGAAGAAAATGGACAAAAATACCATGGGAGCGCGGCGAAAACCAGTATTTCTGCAGTATGACCCTCAGAACAGCACCGAAATATACGGTCTCATTTTCAAAATATACCGAGTGGTGCGCGCCAAATCTAACTTTTTTGAAAGTGAGCGACAAGGACTTAAATGTTGTTAACCGGGCCTTTATCTATGCCCACATAATTTTATACGATTTATGAATAATTTTTCTACTTAACTGGCTTATTCTAAATACTTGCTTTTATTGAATTTTTCGTAAAAAATGTTTTAGCGAAAATGGTCAAACAAAAAAGGTTTAAGCGCAAATGGTCAAACAAATGAAACTTAATAAAACGTAAGAGAAAAATCGTTCCAATTGTTCAATTTCTTTATTCCGTTGAATAATGCTGCCTAACTAAAACTATTTGCTCTGCCCACATAATTTTAGGCTATTAATGAATAAATGTTCTACCTGATTGATTACTTTTCAGTACAGCGTTTTATTGTATTTGGACTAAAACACGGCTAAAAAAAAAAATGTCAGCAAAAAACAGTGACAACGTAAGGGAGACAAAAAATATTGGAAAAAACGAAGAGTTGGAATCGATATTGATGCATGACAATTTCCGACTGATATGAAACTTACTAACGCGCGTAGAAATTTATTTTAAAATGAATTCAAGCTGATCTTTTCTTTTGAAGCTTGTGTAACTGCTAATTGATTCATTTGGTGGTAATTAAATTGATTAGAACTAAGGTTGTGAAGCACATAGCCTTGACTCAGTGAAGGATTAACTCCAAATTTATGATTCGTGACTCTCAAAAGTTCCTAATTGATATTGGGCCTGGGAAAGGGTATTCCCAAAAAGGGATATCAGATGACCAGGGCCCCGCTGCTAACACGCAAATTTCAATTACACCACTTTTGGGCCTTCATTATTCCCCCAAATATGCAGATCGGATTAGATGCGTTCTCATAATGAAGCTATGATGTGTGGACCGACATAAACAACCTGTCAGTTGGGCCACTTTTCTGCTCTTTGCCCAAGCTATTAGCCAAAAAAATGTTGGAAAGACACCAAAAGCGCTTTTGTGGACGGTCAAGGCGCGAAGTAAACAAATAATTTTGGTCAACGATTTGTACGTGTTTGTGTAATTAACACATTTTTGATTCATAAATCAAATACATATATTGAAGTAGATTTGGGCGCCGGGCAGGAGCTGTGACTTATCAACGTCATTTCTATTGTTGCCGTTTCACTTTTATTCGCAAGAAATTTAATCATTTCTGTCTGCAAAGTTTCGATCGGACAGAGTCGATGACAAAGCAAAGGCAATCTCGATCCACATGGTCGGTGTTATCAGGAAAAATATAGTAAAAGGGTCACCTAGGGGGACGTCAAACAAAACGTCTGAATTTGTTTAGAACTTTTCGAACCAATGGAAACCTTGGAAATTTACAAGTCAACTGTTGTCAACTCTGTAAAATTATCAAGTGAGAAATTTGGCAAGTCAGAAGAATCTGTCTCTATATCAAGCATCTCCCTCCCCTCCCCCCTAAAATAGCTTTCCCTGTAGATTGTTTTGACAGCTGACGCATTTGTTCCCCGTTTTTCCTTAGTTTGTTGTTTTAGTTTTGGAAAAAAAAGATAAGGTCCATCGATAACAATATATCTAACATGGATTACCTTGTAGGACAGGCGGTTCGGGGCTTATCTATGTCCAAACAGCAGAATCATAATGAAACTTTTGTTTTGACAGCATTATCATGCGGATGCTAAAAATAAATTTCTTTTTTTTCGAACTTTCCCGTAATCTGCATTTGCAAACGATGACGTTCGCGTTTCCCCAGGAAAGTTCCCCATTCCATTTAAATAAAGGAATTCCTTTTCGGAGCGTACGATTATCTTGAATGCTAATTAGGCTATTCTGTTCTATGACGAATAATGCGCCATTGTCCCCAACAAATAGTAAGAAAAACTTCCAGTTTCAACAATCGCAACAATCTCCCAGTTATCATTTAATAATCACGGAGCGAGAGAGAGAGGAACAGAGAGAGAGCGGCAAAAGCTGCTTAAGTGATTAGCACATGTTTATAGAGACCATTTCTATGCGTTCTATCTGTCGCTCTCTCGCTGCCCGCACTGCTGCCTAGTTCCAGTGTGTTTGCTATCACTATTATCACTTGAATTAGGCACAATCAGGTGGGATACGAGTGCCGGCCGTGCCCAGATGTCCATCTGTCCATACTCTCATTTGTATATCTGCTGTATCTGCCCTCTGATTGGGATTGCAACTTGGGCTTAACTAAGAGAGCGTTCACCCAAAACATAGTGCAGCTGAGAGAGAGAGCAGCAGCCAGAGAGCAGTCGACAAAGTGCAGGAAAGAGGGTCCAAGCGAGAGAGAGCTTATTTCCTTCTTGAATGAAACTTAAGCTTAATGGTAGAACCATCTATTTGCACAAGAGAGAGAGGGAGCGACAGCCACTGCGCGAGAGAGAGAGAGACCAGCTGCCAGCTCTGACGATCGCGCTCCGCTGTCGGTCTCCACCGGGTTGGCGTTGGCGCTTGCCTCCAATCAGTTGTTTTCGAGAGCTGTTTGAAGTTGGTTGGCACTTGGCATTGCCCCTAGCAGCAGCAGCAGTAGCAGCAGCAGTAGCAGCAGCGCCTTCCCCCTCCCTCAAGGCTGTGTTTTCTAGTTAGTGTGTCTGTTTAGGCTAATCGTGTGCGCTGCGAAAAACTGAGCTGCCGCTCGCGTTGTCGCCGCCGTCGTCGTTCTAAGTTTGTGTGAGTGTCAAAAAGAAATACAACAAAAATAATATAATAACAAAATTAAGTGAAATAAACGCAACTAAACATTAGAAAACGGGGCAAAAACCCGCTCTAGTTTGAGTTACGGTTAACTGTTGACCGTTGTTGCCAAGCGTGGCCCGGCGTCGAGTCCCGTTCCCGGATCGCCCGCAGAGACCAGAAAATAATATAATGCTTTAATTGTATATTTATATACTTACGTTTCTGTATTCATTTGCATTGTGACAAACAAAACGGTGGCGTTGTTTCCCAAACAGCCACAGCCACAGCGAAAAATACAGACAATAATCATGGCAAGAAAATCTGTAAAATAAATGAACTTTTTGTAGATAAAAAAGTACAGAGTCAGAACCTGGTAAAAGATCACGAAACGCGGTACACAAACGTTGTTGCCGAATGCCGTATGCTGTCGTTTGTCGCAGACGGAAAACAAATACATATACACATACACCTACACCCACACAGACAACCGCCCACGAGTCTGGAGCTACTCTGAAGATTTGCACAAGTGTAAAAAGACACAAAACCAAAACGAAACGAAAGACAAGACCAAAAGCAGCCTTGACTAAAGCGCAAAAAAAACCCCGCAACTAAAGTAAAGTCAGATAAAACAATTGCTCTTAAATTGCACAACGGAAATTTGATTGCAGCAAAAATAAAAAAATAAATATATAATCACGGAATAATTCCATAATTGTGTAAGAAAAATATGTAAATGAACAATAGAATTGATAAAGAAGGCGAATAAAAAACATAATACGTATATTTTATATGTGAGTGAGGTGCCCCACAAATACTAAGTATTTTTTATGTTCTTCTTCAGTTGTATAAAGAGAAGATTGAGATCAATAAACCACCTAAAAGATACACCGGAAATGGATTACATTGTGAAGGCCTACAAAGATTGGAAACTGCATTCGCAGGTGAGTCACAAAAGCAGGGAGAAGGGAGAGTGTTCGAGGATTTTGTGCAAGGTTAGGGGGGCTCTCGATTTGAGCAACAAAATATTGGTTAAACATTTTCGAAACCTCTAAGAAACTCTTGTAAAATGTGCACTGCTTGCAAGAAGTACAGCCTTCTCAGGACTGCTTGTTGATCCAAGCAGTTTACTCAACGAAACTGTACTATAGAGTGTATTCCTTGTAAGTGTATTCCTTCCTTCCAAGTCCAATCGGATACAGTTTCGTTCTTC